GAAGTGCTTTGTTAGGATGATAAGGCTCTACGAGGTCTTTAAGATACGATGGAGCCTTGTCATTAAGGGCTTTGTATGTTAGGAGAAGGATTTTAAATTCTATTCTGAATTTTACAGGGAGCCAGTGGAGAGAAGCTAATATGGGAGAGATATGATCTCTCTTGCTAGTTCCTGTCAGTACTCTGGCTGCAGCATTTTGGATTAACTGGAGGCTTTTTAGGGAATTATTGGGACATCCTGATAGTAAAGAGTTACAGTAGTCCAGCCTGGAAGTAACAAATGCATGGACCAGTTTTTCAGCATCACTTTGAGACAGGATGCTCCTGATTTTTGCAATATTGCGCAGGTGAAAGAAGGCAGATCTAGAGACTCGGTTTATGTTTGATTTAAAGGACATATTCTGATCAAAGATGACTCCAAGGTTCCTCACAGTAGTACTGGAGGCAAGAGCTATGTCATCTAAAGTAACTATATGATTAGACAGCAGATTTCTAAGGTTTTCAGGCCCAAGCACAATAACTTCAGTTTTGTCAGAGTTTAGAAGTAAGAAGTTGCAGGTCATCCAGGCCTTTATGTCTTTAAGACATGCTTGAAGTTTGACCAGCTGACCTGATTCATTTGGCTTCATAGATAAATATAACTGAGTATCATCTGCATAGCAATGGAAATTTATGTTGTGCTTCCTGATAATATTGCCTAAAGGGAGCATGTATAAAGTGAAGAGAATTGGACCTAACACAGAGCCCTGTGGAACGTCGTGACTAACTTCAGTTTGTGTGGAGCATTCGTCATTAACATGAACAAATTGAAATCTTTCTGATAAATAAGATTTGAACCAACTTAGTGCAGTTCCTTTAATCCCAATAACATGTTCAAGTCTCTGCAGTAAGATGCTGTGATCAGTGGTGTCAAAAGCAGCACTGAGATCTAAGAGGACAAGTATGGAGACAAGTCCTTTGTCTGAGGCTAGGAGAAGATCATTGGTGACTTTCACCAATGCGGTTTCTGTACTATGATGGACTCTAAATCCTGACTGAAAATCCTCAAACAAATCATTCTTGTGCAAGTGGTCACATAACTGCTTTGCAACAGCTTTTTCAAGGATTTTGGAAATAAATGGGAGATTGGATATTGGTCTATAATTAGCTAGGACACCTGGGTCAAGAGTAGGCTTTTTGAGTAGAGGTTTTCATCTTGCTGAGAAAACATGACCAGCAGTGAACAAAGTTTAACTCTTTATGCTGTACCTTCAGTTGTGCACACATACAAGATTAAAGTTTTTTCAATTGCTAACACACAGTTTTGATAACAGGACTCATTGTCTCAAATCACATTTCACAGAACAACACACCCAGAGTGCAGACCACACACACCCTGCAAAATGAAGTACTACACACCAAAAAACAAAAACATAATAATCTTGTGATTATAATGAATTTTGTTTAATTAACCTAGTTATGAAAAGTAACTAGTTACTAAAGTTATCGAACATATGTAGTGAGTACAAAGTACTGTATACTGTACCTATCTGTAAGTATCTGAAAATGAAAATATCCAACTACAGATACCTCAAAATTGTACTTAGGTACAGTACTTGAGTAAATATACTTAGTTACATTCCACCTCTGTTATTTGAAATATTTGAAGCTACATGAACCACGTGACCTGCTGCCATTTTTGACCCCTTCAAATGTTGCAACTCTTCTGTCTTAAGGGCTCTGGTTCATTCAAGGGTGCTTTCGTCTATGACACGAGGGTTGCCAGCTTGGTCCATAACTACGTAAAGAACACTGACAATACTGCTTTTAATTTGACTTAAATATGCATGTAAAACACATGTAGATAAAATGTTTTATAAGTATTTTAAGTTCCTCCTTCCATCCTATTGATACAATAGACACCAACCTCTTCTTCTTCTTTCGGCTGTTCACATTAGGGGTCGCCACAGCGAATCATCTGTTTCCACCTAACTATCCTCAGCATCCTCTACTCTCACACCAATTAACTTCATGTCCTCTTTTAGCACATCCATATATCTCCTCTTTGGCCTTCCTCTTGACCTCTTGCCTGGCAGCTCCATTTCCAACATCCTTCTACCAATATAGAATCAGAATCAGAATCAGCTTTATTCCACACGAGGAATTTGATTCTGGTACATCAGCTCTCAATGTGCATGTACATTTCCCCATGCAAGGGGCAAGTAAAACAGTAAACCAGCATAAGGCTGTGTAATATAACAAAATAAACAGTATTAACAGCAACAAACAGACAGTAAACAATGCAAACAAACAAAAGAATGTTCATTGAAATAAGATAAATAGGAATAAAAACAGAGTACTTAAAACTAGAGACATGTACAAAGTGCATTTACAGGTATTGCACTGAGGGTTATTGTCCAGTCATACTGTCATGGGTCAAGTGTTCATCAGAGTGATGACCTGGGGGAAGAAACTGTCCCTGTATATAAGGATAATCACCTTTATTGGCCAAGTATGTTACACACAAGGGATTTGTTTCCGGTACAGAACCGAGGCAGCCATCTGCGGCACTAACTCAACCGATGGCTCTAACCATTGGGGGCAACAGGGGTTTAGTGTCTTGCCCAAGGACACACATGTGGACTGCAGGCACTGAGTTTTGAACCTTCAACCTTCCAGTTGGGAGACAACTGCTTGACCCACCACACCATTGTCGCCCCCAGTAACCATTCTCCCTCCTCTGCACGTCTAAATAATCTCAGTCAGGCCTCTCTGACCGAGTTCCCAAAACAGCCGACCTGAGCTGTCCCTCTGATGTGCTCATTCCTAATCCTGTCCATCCTGGTCACTCCTAAAAAGAATCTCAACATCCTCATCTCTGCTACCTCCATCTCTGCCTCTTGTCTTTTCCTCACTGCTACAGTCTCTAACCCATACAGCATAGCTGGTCTCACTACTGTCTTGTACATCTTTCCTTTGATTCTTGCTGCAACTCTTCTGTCAAACAGCAAATAGAAACCAACCACTGTACTTTAAACACATATCTGTGAGGGGGGATGATTAAAGATGGATCTGGCAACCTATATCCACTCTGTCACAAACTCTACCATTGGGCAGGTCACAAATAGTATTCCATGATAGTGACATTGTTGTACACAAGGCTGTTAGCAAAGCTGTCACTGAAAGCATGGGCTCTGGAGAGAGTACCACCAGAAAAGTGTCTTTTGGTGTCGATGATGAGGACAGAGTCAGGATTCTTCGTGGAGTCAAGGTGATACTAATTTAGCTAGCGTTTGGTTAGCCATGCTAACTACTCTAATGTTACGCTTAGCGCTAACTAACGTTAGCTGCTAGCGTGTTGTGTTCTGGGCTGAGTTAACTTTGGGTTCACAACCTGCTGAGGTGAGGAGAATAGAAAGGGGTGTAGGGGCTGGGGTAAGTTGATATATTGCACGACTTGTCTTTTTCCTGTTATGCCAAACTTCAGTCGTAATAAGCAGCAGGCAGAAGTATGCCTTGCTTGTCGGCACATAAACATGTCTAGCAGGTGGCCAGTGTCTTTTAGAAACCTCGGGGGGTCTTCCGGTAAATTCGGCACATATACGATCCGTTCAGCACTAACAAATTTATTTGAAATCCCACAGTTTCACAGTCACTTGCTACTATCTAGCTTTGGCTAACGTGAAAGACAACGCGTTGAGCTAGTAGCAGTTATGAGGCGAACTGGTTCTTAACATTAGCTACTAGCGTTATTTATTTTGAACATGTGAGTTACACGGTGGATGTATTGTTAAATCAAATAGAGATTCCCCTTAAATACAAACTACCTCAAATCATGTCGTAGCTATGAGGATATTTGTCCATATCCAAGGTGGCTTTAAATTGACAGATTGTGAATTAGGTTTGGTTGGCCATTCCCTGCCTCTTTGCACTGCTGACAGATATGTAAATTTTGCAAAGTGTTGACCTATGATAAAGTTGTAAAGGAACTGCATATATAGCCAATAATATGCTTCAACATTTTAAATGTAGATAAAGGTGATGCTTTAAAATACAGTTTGTCATCAACATTGCTTGTGGTAGTTGAGGTATGCCTGCCATTTTGCACTGAACAGCTTTAGCATTAATATTTGCATTTTCAGAGAGATTTGCTGCTTAAACACAAGTGCTCCTAATCCTAAACGGTATTAATACTTCATGTCACATGAAGAGCCATGCAGAGGAAGAGGGAAATGGTATCAATCGATTAGCAAGAACAAGAGAAATGTATGAAATGGGCTAATTCTGCAAAATGCAAGAACCCAGCCTTTGACCCTTTTCACCTTTGCATATTTCATCAGATGGCCTTCCCAAAACGGATTAGGTAATGGAATGTAATTTCAGGGCTTTCTCAGACAGTTGAGGCTTACACACACAAAGAAAGTGTATTAATACCTGTAATGTGACTACCAGCATAGCAAATTCCTGTTTTCTGTGATGTATGAGAACTTGTTGGGTGTAATTTCCAATTTTCCCATAGAATTTTAAGACCTTGCCATACCTACCTGTACTCTTGAAAAATTGTACAGCAGCAGAATATAAAAGATAATTTTGTGGAAATCAAGCAAGTCAAGAGTTTATAGTTGTGGTACTTGAATGCATAATGACTGTGAAAATGTTTGTATGAACATAAAACAACGAGGCTCACAGATATCCAGCCCTGCCTGTACATTCAGATGTTGTGAGTCATAGAAACAGTGAGTCAGTGGCTGGTGCTGCCTACTGTGGTTTTTGGAGTAGCTATGTTTGACCATTTTCCTGGACGCACACACACATCAACACTCATAAAATAGAACTGCATTGGTCCACTTTGCAGGTTCATGCGTTTTGACTTAGGCCAAAGTTGCTCTTTATTTTCCACATCATTAAAAAAATAAAAGCCTGATTTGCATTTGATTAAAGATGACACCACATCATTTAATGGTGATAAGCACAACTTCACAAATTATAAACCGGTTTCTCTGTTGTCACAATTTTCAAAAATTCTGGAAAAACGAATAACAGATTAGATACATTTATTGACAAACATAAAATCCTCTCTGATTGCCAATACGGTTTTAGGTTGAACCGATCGACATCTTTGGCCATTACCGACCTGATGGAGGACATTACAAGTGCTATGGATGAGAAGAAATACACGATGGGGATATTTATTAACCTAAAAAAAAGCATTTGACACAATCAATCATGAATTATTAATGGACAAGTTAGAAAAATATGGGATCAGAGGAATGGTTCTGAAATGGATTAGAAGCTATCTGACACAGAGGCGTCAATTTGTGAAGTTGGGTGAATACCAATCGAGTGAGCTGGATATTGTATGTGGAGTGCCTCAGGGTTCTGTTTTGGGACCTAAATTATTTATACTATACATTAATGATATATGCAAGGTTTCTGATTTAGTGAAAGTGGTTTTGTTTGCTGATGACACTACCATATGGGCATCGGGTGAAAACCTACAGCAACTCTCTGGACGGGTTTCACAGGAACTTGAGAAGATAAAGAAATGGTGTGATAGTAATATACTATCTCTGAATTTGGATAAAACTAAATTTATGGTATTTGGGAATCGTAGACTAGATAATGAACCTCAATTGAAAACTGGGGGAGCTAATATAGAACGAGTACATGAAATTAAATTTCTAGGTGTCATACTTGATGACAAATTCTCCTGGAAATCTCATATCAGATATGTTCAGCACAAAATAGCAAAGAATATATCGATATTGGCAAGGGTTAGATATATTTTGGACGGGAAAGCACTACGCATTTTGTATTCCTCATTGATTCTACCATACTTAGAGTATGGCGTTGAAAACTGGGGAAATACATACAAAAGCTCACTTCAACCATTGTATATATATGACAAAAAAGAGCGATAAGAATTGTGCATAAGATGGGGTATAGGGATCACACCAATGTAGCTTTCATACAGTCTAAATTGTTAAAATTTTTTGATTGAGTGGGATATAAGACTGCTGTGTTTATGTATAAAGCCAGGAACAATTTATTACCTGGTGGAATTCAAAAACTATTTAATGAAAGGGAAGGGGGATACAATTTAAGGGGTCAGTTAAATTTAAAAATTCATGCTATACGTACAACCAAAAAAAGATTTTGTATTTCCATAAGTGGGGTAAAACTATGGAATAATTTAAGTGTGGACATAAAAAATTGTAATATAATTGATGTTTAAACATAAATATAAAGGTACGTGTCAATCAAGATATATGCAAGAACAGGCTCAATGATTAAT